GAATGTGCGTTGATAGTCGTGCCATCAACAAAATCACTGTCAAATACCGTTTCCCAATCCCTCGGTTAGATGACATGTTGGACATGATGACCGGAGCCATGCTATTTTCTAAGATCGATCTTAAGAGTGGCTATCACCAAATTAGAATCCGCCCCGGGGACGAATGGAAGACGGCGTTCAAAACCAAAGATGGGTTATACGAGTGGACTGTAATGCCTTTTTGGATTAAACAACGCCCCAAGTACTTTTATGAGAGTAATGACTCAGATCCTTAGGCCTTTCCTTGGAAAGTTTGTTGTCGTATACTTTGATGATATCCTAATCTACAGTCATTCGGTGGAACAACATTTGAATCATCTAAGACAAGTTTCTGAGATTTTGAAAAGAGAGCAGATGTATGCCAATCCTAAGAAGTGCATTTTCCTCACAAATCAAGTAACCTTCCTCGGATTTATCATCTTTTCCCAAGGCATATCTGCTGATTCCGAAAAGGTGCGAGCTATAAATGAGTGGCCAGAACCCAAGAATAATAGAGATGTTAGAAGTTTTCACGGATTGGCCACATTTTATCGGAGGTTTATTCGAAATTTTAGCACCATCGTAGCGCCAATAACAGACTGCCTTAAGAAAGGAGAGTTTCTTTGGACCAAAGCTGCAACTAGGGCTTTTGAGGAGATTAAGAAGCGAATGATGGAAGCCCCTGTGATGAGATTACATGATTTTCTAAAGTTTTTGAGGTGACTTGTGATGCGTCTGGAATTGATATAGGTGGAGTCCTATCGCAAGAGGGACACCCGGTCGCTTACTTTAGCGAGAAATTGAATGACATTAGACAACGGTACTCCACCTACGACAAGGATTTTTCTGCCATCATTCAATCCCTTAGGTATTGGCGACACTACCTTCTACCGCAAGAATTTGTCATCTTTTCAGATCATGAGGCTTTGTGGTACATTAATTCTCAAAAGAAACTCAATGCTCGGCACGGCCGTTGGGTTGAATTCCTGCAAGAGTACACGTATACCATTAGACATAAAGCAGGATATGAAAATAAGGCTGCTGATGCCTTAAGCCGTCGAATGATGATTACCAGGGAGATGACTACTGAAGTAATAGGTTTTGAGCGACTCAAAGAAGACTACCCTGACTGCCCCGATTTTAGAGAAACCTACTCTGCTCTTACCACTGGTGATGAACGAATTATAGGAGATTTCATGTTGGAAGATGGATATTTATTTAAATCCCAGAAACTCTGTATTCCCAAAACGTCACTGCGAGAATTCCTTGTTTGGGAATTACATGCTGGAGGGTTAGCGGGCCACTTTGGACAAGCCAAGACCATGGCTGCATTAGAAAACCGATTCTGCTGGCCTAGTTTAAAGCGTGACATTAGTAGACTTCTTAGGAGGTGCCACATCTGCCAACTCGCTAAGCAACACAAACAGAATACAGGGCTCTACACTCCTCTTCCCGTACCTAATTGTCCATGGAAGGATGTGAGTATGGATTTTGTTCTTGGTTTACCAAAGATGGCCCATTTTCTCCCTTGCACTAAGACTTTTGACGCCTCCCGTATTGCTAAACTCTATTTTGATGAGATTGTTAGACTACATGGATTACCCAAGACCATCGTTTACGACAAGGATGTTAAGTTTACTAGCTACTTTTAGAAAATCTTATGGCACAAAATGGACACAAATTTCCAGTTTTCCACAACCTTCCACCCCCAAACTGATGGGCAAATCGAAGTGGTTAATAGAAGTTTAGGAAATCTTCTAAGGACTTTGGTAGGAGAGAACATACGGGATTGGGATTCCAAGCTTTCTATTGCTGAGTTTTTCTTACAACAACTCCGTCAATAGAACCACTGGTCTGAGTCCTGCTGAAATCGTGTACGGATACCTACCCCGACAACCCATAGACTTTCTTCCCATGAGTCCTAGGTTTAGAGTGTCAGAGTCAGCATCTGCATTTGCATCACACATACAGGAATTGCATAAAGAAATTAAAATAAAAATTGAGCAAAGCAACGCCAATTACAAATTAATTGCCGATCAAAAGAAAAGGCCTAAAGAATTCGAAGTTGGAGACTCTGTGATGGTGCGAATCCGTTCGGAGCATTTTCCTCCCGGATCCGCGAAGAAATTGCATGCGAGAAGCGCCGGACCTTTCAAAATCATTTCTAAGATAAACAGTAATGCTTACGTGCTGGACCTCCTCGAAGGTTTTAACATCAATCCTACCTTTATTATAGAAGATTTAGTAGCATTCGAGGGACCAGAGTTTAACCCTCACAATCCACTTACAAATGAGCCTTGTGTGAACCCACCTGGCGAGATCCCTAGCCTACCCCCACTTCCCAAATTGCCCCATTTACCTAATGCAGAGAAAATAGAAGCCATACTGGATGATGAGATCATTTCCACGAAGGAAGGAGGACGACGAAGGTACCTAGTGCACTGGAAAGGGACACCACCGACAGAGGACACTTGGATGGATCGAGAGGAGCTACAGATCCTAGACCCAGATCTTTTAGAGTTGTACGAGAGCTCTAGAGCTACTCACTCGACGGGGTCGAGTTTTCTCCCACTTGGGGAGAATGATGAGGTCATCGACAGACATTTTAGGCAGGTTTACCGGCGAAGGAATCGTAGATCGACGGCTACGATTGGGAGCTTATATTTCTGATGTTGCCATGTCATCTTATGATATTTTTTTCTATGTTATTTTATGTATCTTTTATTTCATTCATTAGTGACTATTTTGCCCTTATGAAGGCGTAGTGGTTGTTGTAGCCCGATAGGCATGTGAGTCATTTATTTTCATGTTTTGAGACCTTTATAAAGAGGTCTCCTCCTATTGTATGAGGTTAATGAATGATTAATGAAATTTCTGAAATTTTTTTTTTTGTCTTCTTGCTTGAGAGCTTGAGAGCTTGAGAGCTTGAGAGAAAGAGAGGAGGCCTAGGAGAGGCTCCACCCGAAACACCTAACAGCCCACCACGGTGAGCTCTTGGTTTTATTGTATTTTGCTCGTTGTTTTCCTTCCTCCCTATCCAAACCCTCTCACCGAACCCGCCCCTTTCCCCTCTTCCGTTTTACTGCTGCCGCCCCTTCCCAATTCCTCCCAGACCGCCGATCTCGCCCTTCCTCCCGTCTTGCCGCCGGCTCAGCACACCACCGACCGCCCATATCGCTCCCGCACCCCCCCCCCCCCCCCCAATTGCCGCCCCTCTCTCTAATACAAATTTGGGAGATTTTAATAGCAATTAACCTCCCCCTCCAAACCAAGAAAATATGAAATTCAATTTCAGATTTTCTCATTGTCTCCCCCTAGCTCACGGCCCACTTCCCCCCTCTCAATTTGTCTTCCCATCCCCTCTTCAATGTTGAATGGCGGATCCTGAATTCGAGTGGGGGCTTGTGTTCAACGCCGACGGTAGCCTCAACATCCTCCGATCGCCGTTCTTCGACGCGGGATTCGAGCACGAAGACACAGTTGGTGAATACTTGGAACGGATCCTCCCTTCACTTGTACGCGTCATTGACCGCCAGTTTCAAGACTACGTGTGAACAATCACCGGGCGCCATCCACCACCGCCTCCACTGGCGGCTACCTCTCCGGTAACGAAGTCCTTCGTCTCCTTTCCGTAGTGGTGCTCTCCATCTTCATGTGGTTCTTTCTCCTCCGCTAAAAGCCAAAGAGTGAATGAGTGAGAAGGTGCTCGAGGTGAATTTTCTCATTATTAATCGTGGGATTTTTGTTAAAAGCATTTAAGTAGCTCTTTTATCTTTGAATAATTGAATGTTATGAATTGTTTGGTTATCTCAAAGCAAATCTTCGCCTAAGCAAGTTGATTACCTAGAATACATTTAATCCTTTATTTTATTAGTGATAAACTTGTGTTGGCAACGCTTTTATTAACCTTCATTTTAAATTTCCGCATGCAATTCCTGTTTGATTCACATCAATGATTCTTAAGTATTTTCATTGTTATTTATTGATTGAGTTGGTTCTTTTCCATGGATTGTGATATCATAAAGCTTGCATGTGGATTGCATTTCTATTACTATAAATGAAACAATCATTTGTTGGTTGTGGAATTCTTGCGATCTTCGTATCTTGGCTGTAGATTCCTTTTTTTAAAAAAATTTGGAAGGGATTTTTATGATTATAAGGGGAAATTTGAGGCATGTAAACATAAAGTTTTCTTTTTTGGATATTTAGGCCAATTAAGTCAGACTCACACACACATTGCATACACAAGACTCGAACCCAGCACCTCTTAATTGATAGCCTAGGCTCCCAACCAACAGACCAAAGTGAGTTGTGTAACATAAAATTTTGAATGAGAATTATTTTTATTTCCTTTTTTACTCTGAGTTCTATTTGGATGTAAATCTTTCTAGCGTGGTTTTGTAGCATCTGTAAAATTTTGGAGGAAATGATCTCTTGGTACCCTTACAAGATTTGAATTGTTATTTGGTGTCTTTTTTGTCCTTGTTTTGTTTCTATTTCGTAAGCTAGTGATTGATTTGCTAGATTGATTATTATTTTCAAATCTTGTATAAATTGATTTTTTTATTGTTGTTTGAGTTTCTAATTGACATGTGCTTTTCCTTGGTCTTAAATTTATATGCCAAACTATAATTTGGTGAAATTGTCATTTGGAATGAATTTCACTTGCTGAATGTTTTTCTCGTTTCCATTAAAATCCCCGCATTTTTTACCGTGGTTTTAATGCCAGTCTCTGCTGAAGTTGTGTATTGTGATTAACGCATTCTTAACACTAACCGCATTATTAATGTCTTTATGAAACCTGAGCCCTACATGAGATTGTAAGATTATTGACTCATTTTTGTGTTTATAAATTAACTTCACCCTGAATTTCTCTCCTTTGTCGCTGGTTTCTCAGCATGCTGGAATTTTTTTTTTTTTGTATTTCATTCACGTATATGTTAGCAAAGTCTGCAATTGTTTTCTCTTGCTATTTTGAGCAGGTGAAGCAACTGACCAACAATATGCAATATATAATAGACACCGTACAACTATCCAATGTTGTGGAGGTGCAGGTATGTATAAGAAATGGTGTGACTCAAATATTTTTTCTCCCTTTCATAAGCACAATTTCTTTTTTCTATTTTCTATTATACCATAGAGTGCACGAATTTTTCATCTCTAGCACATTTTTCTGATGTAGGGTGATAAAATAAGGAAACGTAATGATTGGATGGCTTGGATTCTGCACCCAACAGATAATTTGGTTTCTGCTTCTGACCAACCATCTCCAGTTGCCAATTTGGATGGTCTGGAAGCTCACTTTGGTAATGTTTACTTAGACTTGGATGCTCCTAAAAATGAGGCAGCTCTTGCAAGATCTGCCTCCGTGAAACTAAATAGTCAGATTTCTGTAAGAAATTCTGAGGATGGCGATGTTCAAGTAGGTACATATTCTGATCGTATCTGGAACATGAGAACTCTACTTAGAAGTGACACAATGTAAGTTGAATTTTGAAAGTCTTAGAATTGCTAGATGATATTTCATTCCTATATATAGTCCAAAAACATAGTCCATCTGACTTGGCAAACTCCAACTTCTGAATTCATCCTTGGACACTGTACTTGGACAAAATATCATTGCTCTTTGGAATTATGAAGGGGATATCTATAGAGTAAGAGAGTTATTTTGGGATATTACAAGGAAAAATGAAAAAGAGCGATGCTCTAGGTTGGGTAAATCTGGTAAAAAATAAGAGAGATAGGAAGCTGTCTTTGCTGTGAGCTTGTAAAGACTAGCATGGCTCATGTTCCTGGATGGTGGTGAAATATATGCCTTTATTCCTGTTTCTTTTGATAGCTTGTTCAATATTTTGAGGAAGAATCTAAGCTGAGCTGGTTGTCATGTTCTTGAGTTTGGGGAAGGGAAATAGAATAAAGGGCATGGGTCTGAGCTTTTATTTAGGGAATTTACTGCTTTTTTTTTAGAAGTGGAAATTGACTCCAATTTATTATTCATAGAGAGATTTATTTTTCATTCTAAGTTTGTAATGGTATAAAATTCCCAAATTATGATGTTGGTTTAACTTAAGTATTTCAAATTAATTTTATTGCAACTTACATTTAGTCTGGATTTGTTTCTTAGCTGCCAGTGTTGCATTGGTATAAGTAGTATTTTATGTATCTTGGATACAAATTGATCTTGCTTGCGGATTTTTTATTTGCTGATGAACAATTTCGCTTGTATGCTTGCGGAGATGATTGCGTGAACTTTTCTGTTGGTAAATCAAGGCTCGTCTGCTGGAGAGATTATTGTGTGCAGACATCGGACAGGAGAGAATCGTCCAGTTTTCTCTGTCTACAATAAAATCGTAGCTGCTACAGTAACAGCGCTTTGACTGTGCTTTTACTGTAGACAGAGAAAACCTGATGGTTCTCTCTGTCTGGTGTCCGACACTATAAAAAGTCTGTCTGCTGAGCTGATATTTTGTTCCTACAACTTGCTTTAAAATATTGAGGTTTTCTCAGGTGAGAATTTTAACTAGCCTAAATTGTACTAAGTAGCATACTTTTAGTTATATAGCAATTTGCCTTGCCCAAAAAAGCTACTGCATTTGTAATATTAAATTAAGCTCTTTTAACAATTAGTAATGCATTTCACTATGAATAATGCTCAGGCATACGATATTTTATCTTCGTATAAGAGTAGTTTATTAGATATAAAATATATCTTCAAAGATAGATATTCTGATGTAGAACGGGTGAAGGCTTTGTTAGGGAGAGGATATCCTCTCCAAAATCTGAAGGAAATTTTGATCTCTTTGCCCAGAACCTGAGAAGACTCTCAGATTTTCTCTTGAGAAAGACAAGAATTGCTGGACAGCAATTTGCTGTGGTAGAAAAAACAGCAATTAAATGGTTTCTTATTGCTGGAGACGTGAGAGCAGGTGGGAAAACCTGGGCTGCAGTATTAGAAGGTAGAAAGTTCCATGTGGGAGGAGTAGGCGGTGGAGACCAGAGAAATTCAAATGTCAGCCTGCTCTTGAAGAGGAAAAACACTCCCATCCCCGTTAATGAAATCTGGGGTTGACCAGCTAGTGTAGAGCTGCAGATTTCTGCTGGACAACAATGTATTCTGGCTGGAATAAGTGACAGCAAGCAGAATTTCATGATTAGGAGGTGGAAGACTTCACGTTGGATGGAGTTTGGGAGGATTTAATGGAGGAAATCTAAACAGACTAGTGGGAATAGATGGACAGCAAGTTGGTCATGTAAAACAGTAGCATAGGAGCTTTACATCACGGGAAAGACAATTAACAGTTGCTGGAATTCTCTGGCTGCAGCCTTAGAAGGCAGAAAACTCAATGTCAGATGGAGTTTTGGGAGGGATTCGTGTAAGGAAATTGATAAACGGGAGTTGGGAAATTTCTGCCATCAAGGGGGAGAATAAGAGATTAATTCTTACCTAATTGATTTCTTAATTAGGGTAAGAAATAAAAGGAAAGGTGGGAGGGAGAGCAAGGCCAGTGGGATTGATGGATTTGGGAAAGACTTATTTCCTAAAGTGATGTTACCACTTAGGCAGCAAATTAATCCAAGCAAGGTGAGTAGGAATTTCGGTCATAGAGAAAACATAAATAATTTGAATTATTTCCCAAATGAGTTTAGGTAGTAATTAAGAAATAAATCCCAAATTTATTCATAGAGGAGTCAGCGGCCTGCCTGGGCTAGGGAAGTTTGGGATGAGGTGTCATGCTTGCCTAATTGATATTTGATTTTAGGAAAGTAATTAATCAAATCCAAGTGAATTTAAAATTCAAATGAAATTGATTTAGAAACTTTCAAAAAATAGAATTAAGTTTTCAAATTTCAAATTGATGAATTTGAAGTTTGAAAATCTGCCCCAAAATCAGGCCATCCAAATTAGGCAAGAGTTTTAATGGAGATGAGGGAGTGATTTAATGAGAGCAAATCAAGATTCCTAATTTATGGTTTTAGATTTAGGAAATATTTAATTTAAATCCTCTTGAATTTAAAATTCAAAATAGATCTAAATCAAATACTTTCCTAAAATAGATGAACTAAATTAGGAAAGAATTTGAAATTCAAATTTGAATAATTTCAAATTCAAATCAATCCCTAAATTAACCCAACCAAATTAGGAAATCTAAAAGGGGTGGAGAGGACGGTTCGGCCGGCGGCTAATGGGGAAAATTTTGTGGAGCTTGGTATGGAGGTTTGGCCGAGGGGTTTAGAGGGGAGGAGGAAGAAATACGAAAACGACGACGGGGAGAGATAAGATGGAAGAAACAAAACAAAGATAAAACGAAAGATAGAAACAAACGATAGAAAATAAAAATGATAGAAACCGCGAGCCTTGGACTCTTCCGAAGACTGACGGGTGATTCGTTTGCCCTTCTCCAAGGAACTTCACGTCACGAGCCCGGACCCATCCTGCGGCTGGTGAAACTCTCGATTTCTCTCATAGAAATCTCACTCTTGTCCTCTCTCAAGAAGAACACAAGTGTGGAAAATAATTTTTCATCTCAATCAACCATCCATTACAATAGCTTAAGGCCCTTATTTATAGGCCATAATATGAGAAAATAGAACATTACAAAAATGCCCCTTGGGCCACAACACTCAAATAAATTAACCTAGGGGTAAAATAGAAAATAACATAAAATAGAAACTAAAATGCTGAAAATAATTCATAAATGACAACTTAAATTAGAGCCGTCGATTTACGACGCCTCCTGTGATAGATGCGCCAGATCTTCGTGCCGATGTCCGCATCATATTCTATTAAGAAGAATAGTTAGAATTAGAGGTATGAGTTAAGTAGTGAGCCCAATTATTGCTTATTTATTATATGAGCTTGAGTTTGAACTCGAGCTGAATGAAAATAAGAAAAATAAGGTTTTTTTGACAATCATGACATTTCACTATGAATTACTGTAATCCTTTATGAGTTAAGTAGTGAGCCCAATTATTGCTTATTTATTATCTCATCACGCTGCTCGGTTAAATCCTTTATAATCCTAAAATTTATTTCTTATCTATTTATGTAAATCCAATTCCTTCTTCATTGAGTCTCACAAACTCCTTTTTAAATGCTACAAGTTTCATAAACTTTACTCGTCATCTCAAGCAAGATATGGTTGTGATCTTCTCGTCGTCGATGTCTTCTCTAGGGTGCTCCAATCTCAACTTCCTCACTATGAATGACTTCTCTTATAAGGTCGTTCACCTACTACAACTTCTTTGCTTCTTTGTCTTGAAGAGTTTTAAGAATTCGAGGGACAGAATTTGAGCTCACGAGTTGAGCTCAAGCCTGTTGATCTGACGATCGACTTGAGTTCGAGTTCAATATATGTGCTCCCAACTCGAGAGCTCGAATTAGTTATGACACAATTTTGACTCAATTCGTTTAAATGCCTACTTAAAATGCGATTATAGTATTTTATTTTTGAATGAAATATCTTGTTATTAATTTTGCATAATATATTTTTGTGTTATTTTATATTTGAATATGGGAAAGATAGAGTAACATGTAGAATAAGAAATTTGGATATCAATTTGTTAGTGTTCGTCTTTTATGTTCTTTTTTCTTACGTTCAACAATCATTGCATTTTGTTTATAACTTATTGTATACAAGTTGGGGAATAGATATAAATGGGTAACTTATGACAAGTTACGGGTCTTAGGATTGCATATGTTAATAGTTCTTAGATAGTATGTGTTTAATAGGTCCTTATGGAGCTTCTGATTCTATAAATAGCCCTCTTTAGAAATATTCATCTCTGCCTAGGGATTAATTATTTTGTGCTGATGCTGAGCGTCGTCCGGAGACCAAGCAGATTACATCATGTCACCCCTTCGCTCGGTACTGCGTCTCAGTACTGCTCGGTACCGCTGACATGGCGCATTCTAGTTGGTCTCCAGATGACGTTCTGTGTCCGATCTCCACATTCTCCCAGATCACCTTGAGTTCAAATATGTCAATATTCATCTTCTTAGCTCACTTTTGCCTCTTCCCTGTCATCGAATGACGGCTCAGATCACAGCATGTTTCATCTTATGTTTTTTGTTGCTCTTCTTGATGGCAAAGTTGTTGTGAAGCGGTCGTTAATATTAGAAAATAAATATAATTTAGATTTTATTTGGGGCGATTTTTTTATTGCTTCTTAAAATAAATTTTAGTATAAAAATTTTAATTTTTTACTAAAATAAAAAAAACAATAAAAAAATCGTCCCAAATAAAATCTTACAACATGAATGAAGAAGTAGCTGCTCTTTCTCTCTCCCTCTCTCATGAAAATCTTAAGGTACAGGCGTACTCGAATTGTCTGTCACTGAGTTTTAAGCAAGCTTCCTGTTGCTTTGTTCTCATGTATTTTCTGTGTTTTTTTTTTTTTTTAAGTAATTTTATTGGTTAGGTTTGTTTCAGTATGTACTATATATGATGATAATGATAATAATAATCATACAATAAACAATTTAACTGTACATACACTTCAGAAATGTGATGAGAATTTGCTGTTGGCTAAAATGAGCTTAAAATTTATTTTTCTTTGTAGATTTAAATATTGATTTTTCAATATTGATTTTAAATCATTTTCTTAATTTTCATTGCATCTGTTATCACATTAGAAACTCATAATTAGCCATCCCAAATGAAGTCTTAATATAATCAGGAATCTACTCTTTCTCATTGAAGTTCTATTTAGGATAACTTTTTTATTGCTTTCTAAAGCAACTTTTTATAATAAATTTTTTTTTTAATAGAAAAAAATTGTCTCAAACAAAACCTTAATCTACTCCGCTATAAGATGCACATAGATATCATGTGCTTGAGTTTATGAGTGATAACCGATGAGTTCATGATCAATGCGAGATATTCAACAATAATTTTTTTCTACTGCATGAATATGGCATTGAGAAGACAAATGTGGGCATATTTAGGTTTCGTTTGAGATATCTTTCGTACTGTTTTATAAAGAAATTTTTTAGTATGATTTTTTTTATTTGAAAAATTTTGTACTAAAAAGTTGCTTCATAAAGCAATACAAAAACTGTCTCAAATAAAGCCTTAGATGTATGTATTGTTCTTCCTTTGGAGAAGTAATAAC